GGCTGGGAGGCCGCTGTCCGCCGCTGGGTAGGGGCTCAGAGCCTGTTGTTTTTATGTTATTATAAACAGAATGATTAATAAGTGATAGCATCGTAAATAATCAAAGCTGCCTCCCAGACCAGATATACCCAGAAGCGGCTTATTGTGACCTGAGGAGGGAGATGGACAGGATCCAGAAGAATGCAGACAGGGACAGACAGACACAGGGACAGACAGAGAGGGGTGGGGGCAGAGGGAAAAAGGAAGCAGTAGGTTCAAAAAGAGACAGGGAGACAGGGACACATGACAGACAGACAGACAGTAGTAGGAACAAGGGGACAGACGTATGGACAAAGCCCAAGGCTGATGCAGGGACAGAGAGAGCCATGGACACACCAGACTCACGGACAGACGCAGAGACACAGGCGGACATGGGGACAAGGAACGGATGAGATGATAAGGTCAGGACGGACGGAGATGGAGGGAGGGGTGAAGGAAGCCGAGAACCGTGACCCGGAGCACAGGGGGGCCAGGGTGGCGGACAGAGTCGGGAAGACCCGTGGAAAGTGGGCAGAACATTCAGGGGGAGGAGGTGGAGGGCAGCTCAGCCCGGGCGGCTCAGGCGGTTCAGCGTCCCGCTCAGCTGGAGTCACGATCCCGCAGTTGATGAGTTCGAGCCCCCCCCTCCCCCGCCCTTGGGCTCTGTGCTGGCGGTGTGGAGCGGGCTGTAGATATTCTCTCTCTTACTCTCTTTCTCCGGCCCCGCCCCACTTGTGCGTGGCTCACTCTCTCTCTTTCTCTCTCAAAATAAATAAATAAACTTAAAAAAAGAGAGGAGGACGTGGAAGAAGAAGGGGAAGGGAGGAAACGGATGGAAAGCAAACCAGGCCGGCCGCTGGGGAGCCCCTGACCGGGCAGGGTCGGGAGAGGCTCAGGGTTAGGAGTGGGGCTCAGGAGCCAGACAGCCGGGCCCCCAGCTGGTTCCGCCACTTGTGAGGAGCTGAGCGCCCTCAGGCATGGTACTTAGCCTTTCTGTGCCTCGGTTTCCCCATCTGCAACACAGGGCAGACAGACGCAGCACTCGGCCGCCCATCAGGGGTCCCCCAGCACCTTGACGTGCCTGCGGTGACAGAAGCACGTGAGGTGCTCCCAGTGGCCCCCACCGCGTCATGTGAGAATGAGTGTGGGCTGGGCCCGGGGACAGCTTCTACCAAACAGGACACGGCACAAGTGCCAGGATGTCACTCTGAGATCCAGGTGCCAAGGCCCAGATGGTTTCCACGTCCGGAGCTCTGGCTCCAGCGCAGAGGACAGCCCCAGGCCAGCCGAGCAGAGGCCTGCGAGGCGAGGCACAGAGCCCTCCAGCTGCCAGCCACCGGCATGACCTCAGACGGACCCCTGGGGGCTGGCCTCGGGAGGCCCAGTCAGCCTCAGGGCCTGGCTCAGTCGCACCCCCATTCCCCGCCCACAAATGAGACAACGTGTGTTGTTTTAAGCCCCCCATCTTGGGGAGGGGAGGCTTTGTTACGCAGCCGTAAATACCAGGCGCAGACTTGGGGACATGGCCACAGCTATGTGGAAACAGGGGTGGGCTTTGGGAGAAGGCAGAAGGTGGGTGCCGAGCGGGCGTTCAGGGGGGGTGTTCTCCCCAGACAGGTTGTGGTGGAGGCCCAGACGGTGAGCCCACGGCGAGGATTCAGACACCAGCACACGATCAGAAGGGGGTTCCCGTTACCTCTTGACGGAACGTTAGGCAGCAGCCTTGGGGAATGTACCCGTGAACTTGGTGCCAAGCCAAGTGTTAGAAGGTGCCCCTTGGCTTCCTCCTGTTGCTTCTGGTGAAACGCCGGCCCGCCAGCCCGGCCAGGGACGCAGTGCCCTACTGCTGCTGTGGCAGTTCTCCACAAGCTTGGTGGCTTACACAGCACAGATGCATCACCTTCATTTCGGAGGCTCAGAGGCTAACACAGGTCTCATCAGCCTAGGGCCATGGCACCAGCGGGCTCGTGCTGTCCGAGTGGAGAGTCTGGCCCTCCAGGCCCTCCCTTCGTAGTTTCTAGAGCCCACCTGCTCTCAGTGGCTCCTGGCCGTGGAGCAGCTTCCGGTACCTTTCTCTCTGGGACCCGGGGTTCCGCCACCACGTCGCTCTTAACTCTGCCTCCCACCCACCTACCTCCCCTGGTAAGGACTCCATGATTGCACTGGGCTCATCCGGATGCTCAGGACGATCTCCCTGTCTCTCGAGGCCCTCGGCTTCATCACCACGTCAAGTGCCACGTTGGCAGGTCCCACAAATCGGAATATGGATGTCCTTCTGGAGGGCTGTTCTTCCGTCCAGCACACCTGTCTTCTAGCATCTACCCTACTGTGCTTGGCATGTCTGACCATCTCCATCCCCAACCAGGCTGTGAGCTCCGCAGGAGGCCATCTGACAGGGTGGCTGGGATCCTACCCAGAATCTGGTTTTAGAGACGTGGGCACCCATGGCCTGACACAGCTTCTTACTAATGACACACCGCTTAACTTCCCTGAGCCTCTGTTTCCTCGTCTGGGGGCTGGAATACCGGTGCCTACAGGCTCTGCATTTTGCTGGTTACGCTCGCCACTGGGCCAGCAGCGCCTGCGACAGTCTGGAATCACAGCCGGGGCCTAATAAAGATTTACTGAATGAATAAAAAGCAGTACCTACTTCATAAGGCTGTTGCACGGATTTAAAGAATAAATGAGGGGCACCTGGGTGGCTCTGTCCGTGAAGCGTATGACTCTAGATTTTGGCTCAGGTCATGAGCTCGTGGTTCATGAGTTTGAGCCCTGCACCAGGCTCTGCACTGATAACTTGGAGCCTGCCTGAGATTCTCTCTCTCCCTCTCTCTCTCTGCCCCTCCCCTGCTCGCTCACTCTCTCTCTCTCTCTCTTTCTAAGTAAATAAATAAACTGATGAATAAATGATACAGAGTGCATAGCACAGGCTGGGCAAGTCAGGGGGCCCCCACCTGTCAGCCAGGATCGTTATCAGCGGGGGTGGGGAGACACAGAGGGAGGGAGACATACAGACAGAGACCTCGGCAGATAGGCAAGAGCAAGAAGGGCAGAAACAGGAGGAGAAGGTGAGGGAAGGAGGCAGGGGACCAGCTCACCTGGTCTCTCACATCCTCTCTGGAGCAGCAGGGGGGCCTGCCTGGAGGCAGCGTCAACAAGCCATAAATTATTTGTTCATGTAACCCTGCATCCTAGAACCGGGGCAGGTGGAGACAAACAGATTCCTGTGGGGCTGGATACAGAGAGAGAATCCAAAAGGGTGTCAGCCAGAGGCAAAATGAGAAGCTCCTGGGTGCTAGATTGCCCCATCTGTGTGATTCGTGAGCACTCACTAGATACTAGGTGCTCTGCTACGTGCCACGTATATAAAACCTCTCACCAACCCTGCGGAGAGGGAAGTATTCTTATTACTGCCCTTTTACAGTTGAGGAAACAGAGGCACAGAGATGTTAAGTAACTTGTCCAAGGTCACCCAGCTAGCAAGTGCTGGAGAGAGATTCAATCCCAGACGGGTTGGCTCCAGATACCGTGCTTAGAGTCACAATGCTGCTCTTCATGAAGTCCAGAAATTCTTAACCCACAGTCCACAAAAAGCTCCCTCCTGAGCTATATGCGACCCCCTCCAATTTATATATAAAATTCCAGTGACCTGCAGAGGTACACATATGTCTATGCCTGGGGCAGCAATCCACAACTTATATCAGATTCCCTTAGGGGTTTATAGCTCCAAAAACCATCTCACAACAATCTAGTGTAGCTCACCTCTCCTCATACCCATTTTACAGAAGAAACTGATCCCCAAAGAGATCATGCCTGGCCCAAGGTGAGTCAGAAAATGAATCTTGGAATTCCTGGGCCGTGTCCAGGACTCCCCTCCTGGGTGAGATGATGGCCCCCCAAAGATTCCCAGGGTATGCCAGGGTAGCCTCTCTGGGCCCGGGGCTCATTATCCTGTGCAAACAGCTGTAGCGGGATACCATTACCCAACACTGAATCCCTACACTTCCCGTCACCACCCGACAGTGAACCCACTAGGCTCCCCGTCCTGGAGGATACCCAGGCAAGGAAGGCAGGGAGAGCTTAAGAGTTGCCAAGGTACAGGGACACCGGGGTGGCTCAGTCAGTTGAGTGCCCGCCTTCAGCTCAGGTCATGATCTCACAGTCAGTGGGTTCACGCCCTGCATCGGGCCCTGCCCTGACAGTGTGGAGCCTCCTTGGGATTCTCTCTCTCTCCCTCTCGCCCTCTGCCCCTCCTCCATTTGCATTTTCTCTCTCTCAAACACAAATAAATAAACTGAAAAAAGAAAAGGCTATTGCAGTGTCCACATGAATCAAGAATGGGAGACAGGCTGTCCCCCTAAAAGATGCTGAGCAGACAAGACCACTCATCCACTAATCTCATCGTGTCCCCATGTATCAGTTAGCGGCTGCCAGGAAGATGCTGTGTAACAAGCCTCACCCAGGGTAAAACAGTCACCTCTCTCACTCACAGGGCTGCAAGTTGACCACAGAAGGTCTATTCTCTGTGTCTCATATTGAGGCAAACTCCAGGGGCAGTGACTCTGTGGGGAAAGCCTTCCCCACTCCATGAGGCAGAAGGTCCCCGAGTGGCAAGCAGAATACACGGTGCCCCTCAGGGCTGGGGCTCAGGACTCCCATGCTGCTCACGTTCAATTGGCTGGAGCAAGTCTCTGAGCATGACTGATATCGAGGGGCGTGGTGGGAATAGTTTCCAAAAAGCTAAATGACTCTATGATATGTGCTTTCCATACATTATCTGCCTTAAATCTCACAATTCTAAGAGGAAAAGACATTGGCCTTTCTCCATTTTACAGATGAGGAAACCAAGGGTCAGAGTGGTGATGTAGTTTATCCCGAGGTAATAGAGAACTATCAGAATAGGGGCTGGAACCCAAAAGGCACCTTCCCCACACTCTTTTGCCTCCCCAAAACTAAGGCACAATTCAGGGCCAGAGGATTCACCTCTGGGGACCCTAGTCCACACAACCCCAGAGGGGGAAACTGGGCTTTCAGCTGGGTGAGTTTAGGCAAATCACTTCCAGTCCGTGCACCTCAGTCTCTCCATCTGTGAAATGGAGACGCTAACACTTTCCTTAGGCAGATGTGAAGATTCAAGATAAGGGATGCCACACACTGGCACGTGGTATGCTGTCAACAGAACTGGGAAGCAGTGACTCCCGGGTAGTATGCACCCAGGGGGCGATGGTCTCTTCCAGGACGGCCATGTATGTCACCCTCACACCCTGCTCTCCACCTTCCCCCACCTCTCCAAAAAAAATCACAGTTGGCCCACAGCTAGAAAGGACCATGCGACCGGGCGACAGCATCCATCTTCCAAGACTCTTGTCTGTTGTGCTGACAAAGAAACAGCCTGCGGAGCGTTTCAAGCCCATTTGGCAAATGCGATTAATTTTGTCTGCGTGAACATGTCTTTTCCTGAGTGTCCATACAGACATGCAGACAGAAGGAGAAAGGGACAGAACGAAGGGGCTGTTAACGGCACTGCTTTGCCAGTGATGGGGGGGTTCTGGGGGTGGTCTCGACCCTGTCCTGTCACCGTCCCGGCAAGCAGACTGGGGTCCACCAACATGGCACTCTGGCAGAGAAAACTCTGGGGCTCTCACGCGCACTGTGGTCCCTGAGCTCCTTGCTGCACCTGCAGGGTGTGACATCCCACCCTCTGCCTCAGGTCATCAGGCTGCCGGCACATCTCTGATGTAGGCCCTGAGCCAGGCCTGACCACAGCGGACAGAGCTAGAATGAGCCTGGCCAACCCCGGGCGAGTACCACACATGCTTAGAGGGGGCCTTGACAGCTTTCACCCAGGGCCCCCGCCTCTCCGGACCCTGGCCTGATCCACCCAGCAGGGAGGTTCTCTCTGAGGAGCCCCCAGGCTTCTTTCTGGCGCCCCCTTGGCCATTCTCTGACTTTCTTAACACCGCTCTGCCCCATTACTCGTGATCCCCAAAGCCAGCAGGCCTGGGCCAGCCCACAAACCTCTCCCCGGAAACTGTCCCTCTGCCCATAGCCACGTTGGACCACATGACCCTGATAGGCACAGCCGCAAGCCAATGAAAGCGGGTCACTCTGACCTTCTCTGTGCACTCATACTGAGTCCCGGTTGCAAAAGACAGACCTACTCAAGCCGGCTTAAGCAAAATGGGAATGTATGGGTTCATGGGAACTAAGTTCCTAGGGGAGGGGAGACTGAGACTTAACTGGACCCGCGGCCCCAAAACAAAAATTTACTGAGACTCTGTCTTGACTCTGTTTCCCCCTCGGTTGGCTCTATTCTTCAGTGTCATGGGTGACCTCTAGCACCGCTAGGCTACCCTATAGCCACTGCAACTGAGTGCCAAGACAGTGTCTCTCTCTCCCCCAAAAGTCCTAGCAAAAGCTCCAAGGTGAGGACCTCACCAAACTCACATGATCAGCCTGGAAAACAAAATCACAGTGGCCAGGGCCCAGGAGGTGGTGGTTGACCCTGCCTGGGTCACAGGCTCATTCAGGGAGCTGGGGCACGGGGAGGGGGAGATTCCTGCCCCAGCTGGACGCACTCAGGGGCGAGGGGTAGGAAGGCATTCCCCAATAGAATCAAGGAGCTGCTACCAGAAGATGATAGACGGCCCCCAGCAGACATTCTGCTCGTTTCTCCGGGATCAGGACTCCGCACCTGTTACTGGGGGCTCATCCCATTGATGGAGACATGAGCCAGGAATCTGCAAGCCAGTGATGCGTGCAGAGAGGCAGAGAAAGCCTGTCTGCAGAGAGCATGAAAAATAAAACAGGACATATGGAGCAAGGAGACCTAGATCACTGAACATTTTTAACTTCTCGGTCCCTTGTGAGGCCAGACTGACGACTTTTCCATTAAGCCGAGGAGGGAAGAGGCTCGGCCCAGCAGGCGTTTTCTTCAAGGAGTGACAACCCTGTTTCCCTTTGCGGAAACACCCCATCTCCCTCTCGGTTCACGTGGTCCAACGGGGGCTGGCCCCACCCCTCGCACCAAACCCAACAGGGAGCATGTGACCCTGCCTAGCCAATCATCTCGCTCCAATACCTCTTCTGGTCAGTGATTGGTTCAGGGGCAGGCACATGAACAAAGCCAGGCCAATAGAACTCGACTTCCAGGGCCTTTGTTGGAACCTGTGGGCGGAAGATGGCTTCTTAGGACCATGGGAACGAGGGCTGTTGTCACCCTAAAGCCCTAAGGGGGCCTGAGGAAGAAGCCCGCTGGCAGGGAAGTGCACGTGACAGGTGGAAACATATTCCGAGGACACTATTTGAGCTTCTTTGATTTTTAAATGTTTTCATTTATTTTAGAGAAAGAGACAGGGCAAGCAAGGAGGGGCACAGAGGGAGATGCACACACACAGAGAATCCGAGGCAGGCTCTGAGCCGGATGCAGAGCTGAGCTCCTAGACCATGAGATCATGACTGACCGGAAGTCGGCGCTCAACCCACTGGGCCACCCCAGGGCCCCTGTTCAACCCTCCACATTCAGCTGTGCCTGGAGACACACTCGATCCCCTGGAGCCAATGCAAAGCAATGAATACCTTTCTTTTCCCCCTTAATAAGTTAAAATCGGAGTTTCTGTCACTTGTAATTCAGAGAGTCCTGATTAATAGACTCTCCCTCAAGCCATGCTCCTCCCTTAAGTTCCTACTGTTTGCTTAGTTACCCATGAGGAAGCAGGTTGAAATCCGAAGGCACAGTAGGGGCCTGAGGAGGGCGCCTGTCCCCGGAGAGTCTCAATGGCAGGTCCCAAGCGCCACCAGCTATCTGTGGGATCCAGCCTTCCCCTTCGGAGACAAATCGACCCGAGGTGCAGCGTGGCCCCACAGCTCTACGCAGCCCATCCGGTGGGTTTCGGAGTTACGTCTCCCGTCCACATCCTGGTACAAAGCCTCCCGAGCCCTGTACCTAGGCCTCCTTTGCCGCCCGTCGCTCCAGGAGTGAGAATGCGGTTAAGACCCGAGGGCACTGCCTGGTCCCTCCTTGTCTCCTCATAGGGAGGTTACAGAAGGGACGCGGTCCCGGGCTCTCCTCCTGCGGGTGCCGCAGGCCATGTTATAGACAACCAGGCTCCTGGTCGGCCTGACTCAGGGACCCAGCAGCCGCCTGAACCCTGCTCCCGCTGCATTCCCCCCACCCCCGTCACCCCCAGCCAGAGCGCTGGGAACCAAACTGTCACAACACACCGGAAGTGTCCGCTCTGCCCTTTGTGAGCCAGCACGGTGAGCGTCATGCAAAGAGCACCGGCTTTGACGTCCCGTCTGGGACCCCGGGCAAGTCACTTACCCGCTCTGAAACTTCGTCCCCTCCAGGGCCTGCTACGTGTTGCACGGAAGGAAGGCCGGATGCACGAAGGAGGGCCAGAGGGAGGGCGGGAGGGAGAGAGACACCAACCTAGCGTTACATTCAACGTGTTACAGATACTTGGTGCTCACTCCTTCCCTCCTACCACATCTCCCATTTTTGCAACCTGACAACCCAGCCACTTTCTGCGGTTTTCCCGAGTTCGGATTGCTGCCAGAGAGACGGCAAAGCAGCAGCTTGGTGGTTCCAAGCCGCGAGAATCCCGAAGACGACCTTCAGATGACCTTCGGACACAGCTTCCCCTTAGGCCGTCTAGTCCATCCTGGAAATCCCAGGCAGATGGACAGACAGCACAGACAGCCTGACAAGGCCTTGAAGCCCCGCCCACCCGAGACTGCAGGCGGCGGAAACAGGTGCTTCTGTTTACGGAACACCTATGTTGTGGCAGGATGCAGACTGGTACAGACTCATGCCAGCCCACAGCTGGGTTTTGTTTGGCCTGATAGCTGTTTCAATATTTGAATAACTTCCCAACATTTAAATAGCAGAAAATCTAACATCGACCATCTCTTTTAACAGTCGAGAGATTCGGACTCACATAGCTGGATAGTAGCAGCCCTCGTTGACTGGCATGGATCCCCAGTTACCATAGTCCTACCCCAGCCCCTTCAGACATCTGAGTGTAACACTTGTGATGTAATAATAGTCAGTTCCAGCATATAGATTAGAAAGGAAGACATGAGGGGCGCCTGGGTGGCTTAGTCAGTTAAGCGTCCGACTTTCGCTTAGGTCATGATCTCGCGGTTCGTGAGTTCGAGCCCTGCGTCGGGCTCTGTGCTGACTGCCAGCTCAGAGCCTGGAGCCTGTTTCGGTCTGTCGCTCCCTCTCTCTCTCTGACCCTCCCCTGCTCACGCTGTCTCTCTCTCTCCTAGAAATAAATAAAACATTAAAAAAAAAAAAGAAAGGAAGACATGAAACTCCCCCTGTTTGCAGATGACATGATTATCTATGTGGAAAATTCCAAGGAGTCCACACGCGTGCGCGCGCGCACACACACACACACTCACACTCACACTCCAAGAACTAATAAGTAAGTTTGGCCAAGTCACAGGTTACAAGAGTAACACACAAAAATCAATTGCATTTCTAAACACTAGCACTGAACAAGTGAAAATGGAAATTAAATGCCATTTACAATTGCTCAGAAAAACGAAATGCAGGGGCATAAATCCAGCAAAATATTAGAAGGACTCTATGCTGCAAACCACAAATGGTTTCTTTGATGAAAGAAATCAAAGGAGATCTAAGTAAATGAAGAGATATACCGTGTTCATGGATTGGAAAATTCAGTATAGTAAAGATGTCCGTTCTCCCCAAATTGATATACAAGTTTAGCATAATTCCTATCAAAATCCCAGCAAGATTTTCTTTGTAGATAAAAGCAAGCTGACTCTAAAATGTATATGGAAAGCCAAGAAACTAGAATTCGAACATTTTGAAAAAGAACAAAGCAGGAGGAGCCATACTACCCACTTTTAAGACTTAGTATATAAGAGGCACCTGGGTGGCTCAGCTGGTTAAGCGTCCAACTCTTGGTTTTGGCTCAGGTCATGATCTCACAGTTCGTGAGTCTGAGCCACTTGTCAGGCTCAGCACGGCTGGTATGGAGCCTGCTTGGGATTCTCTCCCTCTCTTTCTCTCCCTCTCTCTCTCCCTCTCTCTCCTTTTCTCTGCCCCTCCCCCACTCACTCATGGGCACATAAGCTCTCTCAAAATATATTTTTAAAAAAAGACTATACAAAAATTAGGACAGTGTGTTACTGCTAGAGGGACAGACAGATTAAAAAATGGAACAGAATAGAAAACTCAGAAAAGGCCACACACAGGTACAGTCAACTGATTTTTGAAACAAGTGCAAAGGCCATTCAATTGCGGAGAGATAGTTTTCTCAATAAATGGCGCTGGTGCATTTGGATCGCCATAGGCTACAGTTTTAAATAAAACATGTAATGAGAGAAGGGATATCACTGTTTTTGTACATAGCTCAACATCAGGCACCTAGAACAGTAACTGGCACCTAGGAAGCGCTTAATATTTGTCAGATGATGAGTAGTCCTAAAAGCTACTATTGTCTCAACACCGTGTCCGGGAACAGGTGGTGGTGTTATCTGCATATGATAGAAGGGACCTTTGAAGCTCAGAGAGGTCAGAAGACTTGCACAAAATTCGATGAAGAATCTGTCTGAGGGGGCGCCTGGGTGGCTTAGTTGGTTAAGTGTCCAACTTTCGCTTAGGTCATGATCTCGTGGTTCGTGGGTTCAAGCCCCGCATCGGGCTCTGTGCTGACTGCCAGCTCGGAGCCTGGAGCCTGTTTCAGTCTGTGACTCCCTCTCTCTCTGACCTTCCCCTGCTCACGCTGTCTCTCTCTCTCCTAGAAATAAATAAAAATATTTAAAAAAGAAAAACAAAAAAGAATCTGTCTGAGCCCAGGACACCTGCTGCTGCTTTCCAAAGCCTTTCGGGGTGGGGTTCTCAGACCCCCACACCAAGCCACCGCTGTCCCTCTCACCAAACCTGCCTCTCCCCGCCTCTGCTCGGAGCCTGTCAGCATATGTGGCTTAAAGACCAGGGTCTCCCGTGGGGCACTGTGCACCAAGCCAGCTCATTTATTCATTAATTTGCTCTCCATATTTCCAAACAGAAAGCGGCCGTTCCAGGCAAAGCAAATCAATACTGTGCTCCGTGATTCATCTTCATTCGTACCACATCCCCACACTGTCCCCGGTGCTGTTCACCCAGCCTCCTCCTGATGGCTTCCTGGATGCTGACGGATAGGATTCTCGGAGGCAGCCATGCCACGTTAGCAGATTAAATCATTAATACCTGCATCGGTCATTTTTACGAGCCTCCCTTACCCCAGACTCGTCACCACCCTCGTGTTGAGTACACTGTTAGTGAGCTGGGCAGCCACGGCGAAGATGGAATTGCCACTCCTGGGATTTTATTGGCTGCGAGCTTAGAGATATTGATTCCCCCCGCCCCTGCTTTTCTGAAATCAGGTGTCCTGCCCAGAGTTGCAGGAATTATTGAGATGGGAGATGAACATAGACTTGCTGATGCCCCCTGCTCTGTGTGCCATAGACTTTGCTTGTTTTCCTGCAGAGGGAAGAAAGGTGATCTCCTCACATTCGTTCTGTTGGTACAGTTTAAAATAGAGCAGTCGGGCGCCTGGGGGGCTCAGTCGGTTAAGCGTCCGACTCCTGATTTCAGCTCAGGTCACGATCTCATGGTTGGTGAGTTCGAGCCCCTCCTCCGGCTCTGCGCTGACAGTGCAGAGCCTGCTTGGGATTCTGTCTCCCTCTCTCTCTCCCTTCCCCACTTGCTCTCTATCTCTCTTTCAAAATAAATGAAAATAAATAAACAAACAAACATAAAGTGGAGCACTCACTCCTTGCCAACCACTCCTGGGCCTTGTCCAAGCGACGGTCACAGAGGCCTCCCAGCACCCCAAAGAGATGGGGATCGCCATTAGCTCCTTCGCTAAGGAGACTGACGTTCTGGGACGTCCCCCAGATGACAGCAGACTTGAACTCGGGTGTGCATGACTGCGGAGGCTATGCTCTTGACCGGCGCCCACCCTTGCCCTGCTGCCTTCCACTAGAGAAGGTACAGGTGGAAAGAAGATAGATGTTCAGTGTGATGGATGGAATGTCTGTGCCCCTTCCCCACCCTTTCTTGTGTCGAAGCCCTGAGTTCTAATGTGACAGTATTGGAAAGCAGGGCCTTTGGGGGGTCATTGGGCTAGATGAGGTCATGAAGATGGGGACCCCATAATGAGATCAGTGTCCTTAGAAGAAGAAGCCACAGAGCATGTGCTCTCTCTCTCTCTCTCTCTACCATGTGAGGACACCGTAGGAAGGCGGCCATCCACAAGCCAGGAAGAGAGCCTCCCTGGGAACCTGACCATGCTGCCATCTTGAGCTTGGACCTCCCAGCTGCCAAAACTGTGAGAAGCAAGCACGTGTTGTGTAAGCCGCGCAGTCTGGCATTTTGCTCCAGCAGCTCCTGTGCAGACAAAGACGTCAGAAGCATCAGTCGGTCCAGGAGCAGAAGCATCACTCTGGCTGCCCAGGGAGGCAGGGAGGAGATGGGCAAACGCTGGAAACCAGAGCGCGGCGTGGGCTTACCCACACTGACACCTTCCACTGCCCTCAGACAGTTCCGCAGACCCGGACTTCCCTACCCTTCACAGCAGAGGAGAATGGAACGCACTCCCTCTTAAGTTCCAGAAGGTTTAACTTTATCTCTAAAGGAGCAGACAGTAAATATTTTAGGCTTCGCGGGCCACCCAGCTCTTTCACAACGACTCAGCTGTGCCATTGTGCCACAGAAGTGGCCACACACAACGGGTGGATGAACGGCCATGGCTGCCTTCCAATAAAGTTTTATTTACAAAAACAGACAGCCGACCAGATTTAGCCTGCAGGCCATGACCTCCTGTTTTGGGGGCTGGGGGCGGGGCGGAGGGTTTGGGAGCAAGAGTTTGTTGATTTCTGGACCCTTGACACTGACCCATATTGGATCATGCCACGAGGTCAAGAGGTAGGAAATGTCAGCGTGGGGAGGGGAGGAGCAAAGCCCACACGTCGACACGGCCTGATGAAATGCAAAACTTCTTGCATGGAGCGAGTCAGGGTAACACAGCTGGAAACAAGTCTCATCGTAATAATAAAAGTAGAAACCCAGAGCCCTTACAGTGGTCTACAAGGTGCTCGTGATGTTCTCCTCCGGGCACTCGCTCTCTGATCCCATCTCCTGCCGCCCCTCCCCCTGCACGCTGCTGTCAGCCATGCTGGCCTCCTCGCTCTTCCTCAAATGGCCGAGCTTGCTCCCACTTCAGGGCCTTTGCACATGCCGTTCCCTCTGCCTGGACAGAACCACGGGGCTGGCCTGCTGGAGGATAAGACCTTAAGGAATGCCACCAAGTCATTCCAGCGGAGGCCATCCTCGACCAGCTAGCCCCACGCCAGTCTATCAGCAGACCATGAGTGAGTCTGTTCAGGATCAGCCGGGCCTGGTCCAGATCAGCAGGACACCACAACCAAACTACAGACTTATGAACGAATAAGTCCTCACCACCTTCAGTCACTTCTTCGTGTCAGGCTTCTTTCTTACACAGCCGTAGCTAACTGACACAGGAGGCTGTGCCCCCAACTGGCTGTGTGAATAACACAAGCCTTTACCCTGTCTGGCCCTCCAAAGTCTTCATCATGAAAATGAGAGAATCACAAAAACCTTACTCCTTCCCTTGCCTGCTGTTTCAGGAATATTCGGCTGTGTAGCTTCTGAAACCTCTCCTCCCCTTGGCTTTTAAGGCGCCAGGGTCATGCGGTTCCCCAGCCTCTCTTCTCTGCACCTGAACTGCTTCCTCTACTTCACCCAGAGTGCACATCTCACCACCCAGCCCTGTCAACCCTGCCTGGATATCTCCTTCATGACTCCCAGGCCCAGGACACACCCTCTGCTCAGTTTGCTGCAATAACCTCTTTTTTTCTTAATTTTTTAATGTTTTATTTATTTCTGAGAGAGAGAGAGACAGAACATGAGTGGGGGAGGGGCAGAGAGAGAGGGAGACACAGAATCCGAAGCAGGCTCCAGGCTCTGAGCTGTCAGCACAGAGCCCGACACGGGGCTCGAACCCACGAACCATGAGATCATGACCTGAGCCGAAGTTGGACGCTTAACTGACTCAGCCACCCAGGCGCCCCTGCAATAACCTCTTTAGACCACTTTCTCTGGCTCCAGTGGCTCTAACCCCACTCATCGTCTACACTGCTGGCAGAAAAATTCCTCCTGGGGCACAAATTCCTTCTTCCCCTGCCTTCAACCCTCCTGTGACGTCACTGCCCTCAGGTGAGGTTCAGACCCCTTCACAGCTTTCCTGGTCCCTCCAGGGTAGAGCCCCCGCCTCACCTCCCACTATTCTGCGAGCGTTAGCTTAGTGACTCTCAACCCTGACTAAGCAGTAGCATCGCCCGGACAGCTTGTTACAAACCCCAAAGCCTTAACTCCTCCCCCAGAAACTATGGTTTACATGGTCAGGGATGAGGCGGAGGCACTGGTGTTTCCAAACCCCCCGCGTGAATCTAACATGCAGCCAGAGCTGAGAGGCACGGCCCCAACCACACGAAGGGCTGAAAGTTCTCCCGTGGTCTCCATGCCTCGTGCCGTTCCACTCTGGCTCCTTCTCTCTTGGCTTCACCTGGCTGATACCCACATACCCCTGACCCCCAGGTTCCCAGTCTGAGCCCCCACAGTCCCCTCTGCTGAAGCCCGTCAGAGCATTCACCACACTGAACGTGAACTGTCTGTAGCAACTCAATCACCGCGCCACCGGGGCTTAGCACAGAGGCTCCCCTGTTAGTAGACTCAATACATGTTTGTTGGATGAATGAGTGATCTCCATTCCCTTCTGGTCACGGGGACAGGAAACCGACTGTCTTTTCACTTCCCCCTCCTCCTCTCCTACTTCGACGCCAATGCGCATAGTAGGTGCTCAGTAAATATTTGCTGAGTGAATCAATGAAGAGAAGTCGCAAGAGACAGGCATCTGCCCCTTCCTCACTTTTGCAAGGGAGCTCAGGGGAGCAGAGACAAATCAACCTGAACTTCCTACAGTTTTGCTAAAATGGAATTTGCGAAGACGTCCTGAAAAATGGATTTAATTAGGCCCGTTAATAGGGGAGTCATTGGTAGCGAAGATTTAACGCAGAGGCTGGAAAAGGTATCGATGATTTTACCATTTTAAATTATATAGGAGGTTATTCCTTACCCCTGCCTTAATTAGAAAAATGCATCTCGACAGAACCTCAGCTTTGGTGGGAAATAAAGCCAAGGGTAGAGGCAAGATCTGATATTTCATGGAAATGGGGCGTCAGGTATCCCAGCAGACCGTGCACCAGCTCAGCCCAGGTGAGCTCGATGTGAGAGAGGCGGGTTAGTGGCACCGCACGGCCAGAGCTTATTACGCTAATGAGTGTCAAGGCGACTCAATGTGGCTTTTAATTACAAGAAACATCCAGGAGAGGGAAGGGTACAGTGTCTCCAATAACGGCATGGAATCATGCATGTGTTTCCGGAGCCCCGTGGATTTCTCGCACTCCGTTCTCCTGTTGGACAGCTATAGACTTCTGGGTTCCCATTGGTTCCGCAGTCAGATCCTGGAAGAGACATGCCCTTATTCTGCATGAAAAACTCGGCTGTCCCCAGGTAATGGAGACAAATCTAAGCTCCATTTGGGGCTCTCACTTCCTTCAGACACAAAGAGCCTGAAATGCCCCCCAGAGGCCTTCTCTGGGGACCCAGGAAATGTCTGGATACATAAGAGGGCATCATTCATTCTACAAATCCTTATTGAATGTAAGGAGATGACAGACACCATTCTAGGCAGAGCTGGGACTAGGTAGGGTGAGGCAAGTGGGGAACTCAACTCAGGGGTTAAACTTAGGAGAATGATTAAAAAATATAACTCAGAGGGGCACCTGGGTGGCTTAGTCAGTTGAGCGTCCGACTTTTGCTTGGGTCATGATCTCACGGTTCGTGGGTTCGAGCCCCGCGTCGGCTCTGTGCTGACAGCCAGCTCAGAGCCTGGAGCCTGTTTCGGAGTCTGTGACTCCCTCTCTCTCTGACCCTCCCCTGCTCACTCTGTCTCTCTCTCTCTCCTAGAAATAAATAAAACTTTAAAAAAAATATATATATATATATAACTCGGCAATCAAGATGACCAATATTTTTAGGCAATACTGTTAAAAATAAAAATGAATGCAAAAGTATCTACGATGAACAAAATACCAAAATTTTAATCACAGAGAGGATTCTAAGCCTGTGCTTGGAGGAACTGCCCCACCACCCCATCCCCAGCCTGGGTTCTTGGCACTGGGGTACTGCAGCGAGCTGATCAAATCGCCCCCCTCACAATAATGCCAAGAAGAGTTCGAGACAAATGACGAACACAATAACTGAGTCAAGTACACGGGGCTGGTGAAGGGGCTTACAGAGGGAGATAAAGCAGACAAAGGGGTGTTTCCATGAAACATCTTGAAACCCCCCTCCCCACCCAGGACTTTCTACTGCCCAGTGTAGCAGAAGGCACAGGGCCGCTGGGCTGCTCCAAGGCCAGCTCGCAGCCCTGTGACCCACCCGCACTAGGGCTTAGGGCACGTCACTTGCTTTCCACACCATCCCTTCTTGGCACTCCATCACCTGAGGCTGTAAAGGCGAAAGCTCATAAAAACAAAGACATTTGAGAGCTATCACTCTGCAGGGAGCCCAGTGCCGCGTTCATCGTGTTCCTTCCCTCACGTGACCCTCACCCCACAGATTTCCATCCTGTAGGAAGCTAACACCTGAGGTTGAGCAGCCTGCCCCAGAGGAAGGCGAGGCTTTGCAGTTCTCCAGGCCAAGTTCAAGTCTGTAATGTTGGGCACCTCAAACGGAAACAGGGTCTCCGTGCTCCTTCTGTGCCTAAGTGACCTCGAACAAGTCCCTGGATTGCTGACCCTTGTTGTCCCCATCTACAAAATGGGGATACTCAGGGGCCCCCCTCTCCTAGGACCACTGAAGCCAGGGATCCAGCATATGGTGGGTGCCCCATAAAAGTGAGCGCCCCCTCCTGTCCTCACCCCTGCCCTGGCCACCATACCAGTCTCCAAGGTGATGGGGCTGAATCAGTGGGTGAAGTTCAAACGCAGCCCATTTCCAATTTTCCTGACAGCCTATTTCATGGATCACAGAGACGCAAGTACAGCTGCTTATTCAACGGAGGAAAGAATGAATTCATTTTCATTCCTTAATACCCGATGTGACCTATTCTCGGTTGATCTCTCCTTTCCAAGGCTACAGAACTTCCCGCGGACTTTCAATTTGGCCCAAAAAAGAAAATGTGCAATAATGACAGAATACCCTGCCTGGAGAATGCTGGGAGCCGAATCACCACCGTGCTGGTAATAAGTCCAAATGAAAGATATTATGTCACCTCGTTTGAATTAAACAGATGAACTGTAGTCCCGGACCGTTAAAAATGAGCCAATCTGCTGGAATGTGTCCAAGCACTCAGTGCCCCTAAAAGGTGCTCAGTTCTAGTGGGGGGTTTATATCCTCATTTTCTGCCAATAATGCCTCCACTCTGCAAGTGCGGAGGAATAATTCGATGAAAAGGAAGCCGGCCCTTCAGGAGTGGCCTCTTTCCAAGGACGGCCCTGACGGTGCTAACTCAGGGCCCACCAAGCCCTCGCTGGTGCACTCCGTCCGTGAGTGGCCTGGGTGGGGGTTAAATGAGAAGCATCAGAGAGCCGCAGGTCAGGCAGCCAGGGCCCCATCTGCAGACTGGGTGATGGTTAAGTTGGTTAAGTGCCCCGACAATGTTTTCTCCACCAGGAGCTCGGTGGGGGGGCTTCCCACCTGCACCCGAAAAGTCCAGGGAGAGAGGTAGTTGATAGCCTGGCCTCCCTTTACAAACAGGGAAACTGAGGCACCTAGGGTGGGTCACAGGCCCAGACTGCCTGGGTGCCAAGGCTGCCGGGCACACCCCCCCCCCAGTCCCGCTCAGCCAAGCCTCCACCCCCTCTGTCCCTGAGCACGCGCTCCCACACCCTTTCCCGCCGGCCCTTCCGTGACACAAGTGGCCTCTCCCTCAATCTCTGCCCCCTCGTGGTTTGTGGCTCAGGAACGTCTTTCCCTGTCTGAGAAGCTGTGTCCCTATCTGCAAACCCATAATGCTCGGGTGCCCCCCAGAGCTGGCTGGGCCGGGAGCCAGAAGACATGGCTCTGCTGTGGACCAGGCACAGCGGCCCTCGGAGATCTCCTTCTGCTCACTGAGACTCAGCTTCCTCATCTGTAACGTGGGACTTCATAAGCACTTCCTCTCCCAGGGTTCCCCACCCCAGCACCAGAATCCCACCAACCCCCCACTCAGCCTCCTTCTGGCTTTAGGACTCAGCCCCTGGCTAAGATGTAACCCCGCCCTCTCATTTAATCCACCCGCAAAATGATGATGGTAGAGGCTTTATATCAGTGCAGGATAATAAGAACGACTAAACCCTAGGGAACTTTCCAGGCCCGGCCCCTGCTCTAGATGCTTTACATTTAGGGGTTCAGCAAAACATTATGGGCCACAAGGACTCAGCAGGTCAGAACACACGCCCCCTGACCTCAAGGACACCAGGCGCTGGTATTTTCTGGCCCCATTTTTCAAAGAGGAAACCAGGCTGAGGAGGCTTGGATACCTTGACAGGAGGCACCACAGACCCCCCACCTCCACCCCAGAGCAAGGACTTGGTGGCAGTTTAGGGCCGGGCGTGCCAGCCAGGGCACCTGAGGAGGCCCTGCCCACGACGCTGGGTCTCCCCGGGCGGTTCTCACGCTCGGGTGTGTGTGCCTAAGAAAGTCCCTGGAGGAATCTCTTCACAAAACTGCGGGCCTGACCGAGGACGTGGGTTCTCGGGGGCCAATCAGCCCGGGTTCAGGGTGGGCGACCCACCCCAGGCGGCTCAGGACTGCTCAGTGTTAAAACAGGAGGTTCCCCCCACCCCGCCCCGGCCCAGGAACGCCCTTGGTCACGAGCTGAATGGAGACCGTCGTTCCCACAGACAGCGCCTTGCGAGTTCTGCGCTCAGTGGCCAGAAGGGACCCCTCCCCTTCCCCCTTGCCTGGCGGGGCACGGGCCCCCCTCTGGTGGTCTCCCGAGACCCCTGCCCCGGGTCAGTGCTTGTCGACAAGATGGACGGCCCCACAGCCTGAAGCCCCCAGAGCGTGAGACACGGCGTCCTCTGAGAAGGTGACGCCCAGGGTCTGTTGTACCTCGTCTCTCGAAGCTTCCATTCCTCCAGGCGGGTCCTACCACAGTCCTGGGGGGCACAAGGCGGGCTCCGGATACTTAGTGCTTACTGAGTGCTTGCTGGCCTCGCTGAGTCCTCCCTTACCACCTAAGGGACAATCACCCTGCAGACACGGCCCGTCTAGCAGACTCCACTGAGGGCCCCACCCATGTCCTGTTGGCTCCGGGCTCAGCCTCGGTGCGGGCGGTACTGAGTGATGCTTGAGTCTGTCCTCCTCCTCCCCCCGCCCTCCTCTGCCTCGGGGCTCCCTGGGCCCCACAGGGCCTCGCTCAGGGAGCCGGAGGCCACACCTCCAAGCCCCTGCGATGTGGTCCCTGCAGCCTCTCGTTCGCCCTCTGTCATGCCCCCTTTACGGGCATCCCTTCCCTCCCTGTCTTGCAGCCCCATCTCTTCACAGGGTTTCTTGGGACCCCTCCCTAAATGAACTACCAGATCCAAGTCCGTGCCTTGAGGCTGCTATTGAGGGGACCCAAACTGAGACAGAAAGGTTAGGTAACTCGCCCAGGATCACACAGCTGATAAGCAGCGTTTCGCAGATTCGAACTCAGATCTCCGGCTTCAGACACTGAGCGCTCGGTGACTTTGCGTTTGGTTCTCATACTCGATCTGGGGAATATTCATGCCCCTCCTCATCCTCGGGCAGGGTCTCCTCCAGCCTCCCTCCTCACCCACTCCTACACCCGCTGAGCCCACAATAAAGGGCCCAAGATGAGGTCTTGCCACAGCTTAACAGGAGCTGGGTGACCAGCCCTCAGAGTGTCACACCCGCTTCCAGCCACCCCAGCCTCCCCTCTGTTTCCCGCTACCCCCCACCCCTCACCGCCCCCCAGGGGGGCTTATCTTCAGCCAAACCTGAGCATTCTGAAGGGCTATGTTTTCTAACCCAATAATGCAGGCCACAGATATCCCGGGGAGTTGTCCCGTCCCTGGGCTGAACCTCAGAGAAACATTCAGATAGAAGATGAGGCCCAATTGTTGAGAAGTGTCTGCTCCATTCATTGTGCGCGATGAAAACAAGTTGAAGCTTTCATAGTCTGTTTGGGAGACTTCTCAGAAATTCGCAGGGCAAATGTCATGTGAGAGAGAACCTTAAAGGCACATGCTTTCGCAGGGAGGAAAGGGGGAAATAACCTAAATGCTCATCAGTTAGAATGGATGAACCATGACAGTTGTCAGTAGGATACCCCCCAGGACTGGAATTGAACTTGAGCTGCGATCTCGCCCAGGTGCTTCTCACATGATGTTGAACATACGTTGGAAAAGTACCCATAAAGAAGGCCACTTATATCACGATTAATGCCATGCGAAACAATTCCATGTTGGCGTAAGGGTATGTCCCCTTAGGCTCCCAAGGATAAACACGTGCGTCAGTTCGGTGACGAGCGCGAGATTCTGGACTGCCACGGAGACAGAATGGGGAGGGGTAGACGGGTTTGGAGGTTGTCAGTAAGGTCTTCTTTTTCTTTTTTTTAGAGCGAGAGAGGGTGGAGGGAGGGGCAGAGGGAGAAGGAGAGAGAGAGAATCCCAAGCAGGCTTCTCACTCGGCACAGAGCCCGACACAGGGCTTGATCTCACAATCCCAAGATCGTGGCCTGAGCCAAAGTCAAAAGTCGGATGCTTAACCGACTGAACCACCCAGGTGCCCCCTGTAATGTCTTTCTTCTTCCTCTCTTCCTTTCCTTTCTTTCTCTCTCTTTCCTTCCTTCCTTCCTTCCTTCCTTCCTTCCTTTTGTAGGTCCTAAATAATTTAATGGCTGGAGGGAAATCCAACTCGCAGGAAGAATGATCTTTCTTCCTGGACAGATCACCCCTCTGGGCCATGGCTAAGCTGGCTCTCTTCGTCTTGCTCCCTGCAGAAGGTAGAAAGTCCAAGGTCCTGTCGTCAGGGACTCAGGCCCAGCTTTGTACACCATCCACTCAGGGGCCAAGTGCCCCTGAGAAGGGAGGTACCCACCACGTCTGGTCCCCGGGAACACCTCTCATGACCCCCGGGACAAGCGCTGCCTAGCAGCCAGGAGCTGGGCTCCGGGGCAGTGAGGGTGGAACAAGACAGTGGGTGCCAGCGTCGAGCTGGGGGCCCCAGGTCCACTGTCTCTGGTCATCCGACAGCCCGGCACGGCTGTCCCCAGAGTCCCCTGTACCCCGGCCTGCATTGGGCTCTCTCAGTAGAGCACTCACCCCGCTGCCCAGGGAGCACGCAGGGGCCACTCCAACGTGAACAACTGAGGGTCCTCGGCCGGACGAGGCCAGACAATGGGGCCTCCTGCAGAGAGAACACACGTCCATCCGAGGGCCGCAGGGGAGCCCCTGGGAGAAGAGAGCTCAGCAGGGAGAGCCTTGGGGGGAAAGTGGGTGCCTCGAGGGTGATGGTGAGGTCCAGAGGGTTTGTGGTTTCACAGTGTGTGTGCACATTTATATATACTTACATATGTCTTCACGTGGATGTACTCACATATGTATATGTGCGTATGGAGATACACCCTTGTGTGTGCTCAGATATGCATATTCTTAGGTATTCATGTATAAACATAGACATTGTGAATGTATTTGCATGCATACACACAGGTACTTATGTATATATGTATACGTGTACATCTGCACAGAGACGTGTATATGGACGTATTTTTTCATGCAAATACCTATATTGTCTTAAGTAGAAGGTGAAGGGGCATGAGTTGGGGCCAGCACTGCCACCATGCACCTGGGGGCAGACCCTGGCCTGGGTGTTTCCTGTCTGCCCTTAGGGCACCCCCCCACCAGGGAGTGTTACTCTGTTTCTGTTTCCGTTTCTGGCTGGGGGAACTGAGGTTCAGAGAGGTTAAGGTGGTCACAGGAAGTCACCCACCCGGATGGAGGACACGGGACTTGAAGCACAGCACGCCAGAGCCCCACGATGGCAGGGGACGGTCACCCTGTCCATGGAGCGCTGTCTTCCCTCCCCCCTCCCCCCATTTTATTTTCTCCGCAGCACTTGCGTCACAAGTGAGCCTGTGTCCCCACACCTCCCGACTGTGAGGCCCACCAAGGAGGGACTTGTTCCCGGTTGTCTCCTGAGGGTCTAACAGTACACTTAGCACTTATTTCTTCTCAGTGACTGTGTGTGGAGGATTTCATCCCCACCACCATTTGGGGCGTCGTTAAGCACGGCTCCGAGTGGGCAAGCTGAGGCTCGAAGCCAGGCTGATCTCTCTTCTGAGCCACTAGGCTCTGCCCTTCCTCACAGCCCTTACCCAGGCGCACCCCGCTCGGCAGACTTCAGAAGGAAGCTGTACCATTTCTAGAAGACCGCCCTGCCCCTCACTCAGAGGCTCTTGGGCCCCACAGCTGGCCTTGACCCTGCTCTTCCTCTAACCCCCACACCCCACCCCTCAGCAAGCCCCGAGTCCAGCCTTCCAGATACACCCAGCTCCCCCCCCCCCACTGCTGTCCAGCTCTGCGGCCACTCACTGGTCAGAGCCCTCCCGTTCGCTCCCGGATTCCTGCACCGGCCCCTCCTAGCTCCCCATCACACCCTGCCCACCGGACGTCCCCCCACACGAGGACCTGCTCAAACTCCAGTCCGCTCATCTCCGACGACAAGTCACGAGCAGCTCCCAACTCCACAGGGCGACCACAGGGCGAGCGGTCCCAGCCTCCCCAAGAGAATAAGGAATCAATATCTCTGCCCTCACAGAGGTACTCTAGCAGAGAGAACCGGCAATGGGGAACCAACACATCAAAAGACTCGCAAATTGTATTTAATGCCATAAGGCACATAAATGAGGAAGTGACGTAAAGAATAACAGAGGGGCCTTCTCGTAGAGGCCAGGGACACTTCCTGAGGGACACTTTAGCTGAAGCTTGAAGGCCAAAGGGCTGAGGGAAGAGCATTTCAGCTGGGATCTTGTTCTCTTGCCAGTGCAAAGGCCTTGGGGCAGGTGAGAACTCAAAATAAGAAAACTGCCAACGTGACTGCACCTTGAGGTGATGAAGGGGTAGGGTGTGAAGTGGGACCAGTGACCAATGACGTCCTAAGAAATGCAGCTCAGAAGGGGCTCGGCCGGGAGGCACACCCAGGTGCATGACATGGCAAAGCAGAGGCCACAGGCCCCGCAGGAAGTGTCCCCAGGAAGGTGGTCCTCGCCCCTCTCTGGCCATAAGTCCCTTTCCTGCCCACCTCCAGCCCCAGCCACTGAGGTAACTGGTGCCAGGACACTATTGTCCTCCCTCCCACCTCCATGCTGCCTCATAGACCCATCACCATGGGAACCGGGCCAGCCAATCAGAACACTCCCCTTTGAAAGGCCCCTTTATAAATTGAGCCTCCGCTCCCCCAGACAACCCACACCCACCATTCAGAGGCCTCCCAGGGTCCCCTCCCCCTGGATAAACCAGATCAGCTGCCCCCCACTTGCGGGGAGTCTGCTGCTTGGAATGCTCAGGCCCGAGCCCCAAGCCTCCTGTCCCCCAGCTTAGAGCCCCGATCCCTCGCGTGGCCACACCACGATGCAGGAGCCACGCAGGAGCCCCTAGGACTTGCAGGCGGGAGCCTGGGTAGCGTGTGGAGAACGGAGAGCAGCTCGCCGAGCCTGCGGCAGCCCAGCCTGGGGAAGCACAGGGACAGTGACGCCAGCCTGTTGAACAGCGGGTATGCGGGGGATGAGGAAAACAGCGAGGTCAGCCTGGTAGTCAGGAGGCACCGTGTAAGGCTGCACCGAGGTCTCAACAGCCAGGCAGACAGCGTCCAGACCAGCCAGCCGGGTGCCGTCTACTGTCCCAGCCAGATCAGGAGCCAGCTGGCCGGCCAAGCGCCAGGAGCAGAGCAGACTGGAGGGGAAAAGTGAGATGAGCCTGCCCGGCAGCGGCAGCGGGGCCAGCAGCCTGACAAGCATGAGCTTCATCAGCCTGGGCAGCAGTGCCCTCAACTACCAGGTCAGTAGCGGGCTGGTCAGTTCCGCCAGCAGCCTCCTCTCCAGCCAGGCCAGCAGCTGCCAGGGCGCCCCAGGGGACGGCACCATGCAAAGCGGGGTGCAGAGTAACACCAATCTGCAGGAGGGCGACGCTGGAGACAAGGGCAAAGCCAGCGACCAAGGCTGGGGTCAAGGCCAAGGCCAGGCCCCTGAGGGCCAGCAGCCTGCCCAGATGTGTGTGCCTTTATAAGAAGACTCACCAGCCACTAGGTTCTTGAAGGATAAATACAGACGTGAATCCACAACAACCCTAGACTTTACCCAGAGTGGTTACAGCCAAAGTAAATGCCTTTAAAAAGTATACACTGTGTCTGAACTTTGGGTGGGGCACCCCATTTGTAGCAAACGACTGTCAGCAGCAGGGTCATGTGAAGTGAGAACTGTTGAAGATGAGCGCCACCTGCAGTGACCGTCAGCAATCAATGGTAAGACCATCTATACTGAGAAACCTTATTGAGAAGAACAGCTGTATCGAGGTCCTTCGAGGCTGAGTCTACCTTCCCCCAGCAATACCACCATGAGCCCCAGCGACCAGGACCAGCCGTCTCTAACGGGATCCACCAATGGCAACAACATCTATACTGAGAACCATCATGGCCGGGCTCGCCAGCCAGAACTCGTCAGTGGGGGCAATTGTGATCGGCAGCAAATACCAACTCTATTTAGAAGCATCTGATGTTAGAACCTCCCATGAAGGAACCGTGCTAAGTGATGAGCACCATCTAAGGGCAACGCCAATGGTGGCAAGCTTGGGAGGGGCAAGCACCAGCCGTGGCTGGGACTGTCCACCATCGACGGAGAACCACAGCCCTGGAGAGAGGGACCCGTACCGGGCCCTATGAGACGTGCTGCTCGCGGGAGCCAGAGAGGCTGCATTTGGAGCTCCCCGATGATGCCCCATCCCTGCTCGACGTGCATCTCCAAGGAGGTAGAGACAAGAAAGGAGCCCAGGAACCATCTTGGTTGAGATGGTTGGGACTATTTCCTATGGCAGGACAAAGCCATGATCAATACTGAGTGGCGACAGACATGAACCCAGCCAAGCACAGCTGCAAGCAAGACAGCTCTGCGCCATTCGGCGGAAGTCTCCTACGTGGGTGGGAGGGCTGAGGACCCTCGCCTGCCCCTCCCCGGGACAATAAAGCCCTTCCCCAGGAGCTGACCACACAGACCCTGGGGAGTGAGCTCGTCCGCTGAGGGGCGGAGGTCAGAACAGCCAAGAAGACACCCACGAGGTACCAGAAGGAAAGCTGAGGGGGCACCAAAGACAATAAAAGGTGTCTGGAGAGGCTGAAAGTGTGTGGAGTCTGGTGTGTGTGTTCCCGGCCGAGGCTACAGAGACAAACGCAGACACAAGAGCCCTGTTGAGGGGAGGGCTTAGCGATCAACTCTGTTACCTCTAAGCTGGTGGTCTGGGGGGAAGTGCTTACAATTTCTGAGACTGAGTCTCTTAATCTGGGAAATGGGAATGATAATCCTTATTTCATACATAGATAGAATGGTCGTGTGGATTATGTGAAAATGTATGTTTTTTAACTTTATTTTGAGAGAGACAGAGTGAGTACGGGAGGGGCAGAGAGAGGGAGAGAGAGAACCTAAGAGGTTCCAAAATGGCAGCACAGAGCCTGACGTGAGGCTTGATCTCATGAAGCCGTGAGATCATCACCTGAGCTGAAACAAAGTTCGACTCAACAAACTGAGCCACCCAGTCGCCTCTGGACAAATTTTTCTTGACCAAACAACAACAACAACAAAAACCCCAAAGACCAGTGGACCCATAGCATCTGCTTAGAATTCAAGACAGATCAGCAGATGGTTTGATAGGTTTCAGGAGTTAGCAGTTCTGGGTTCGAGGGCATCGCGTGTCTGGACTGGGGAGGCCCTTCCTCTGGAGCATGGGTACATTCTCCCCCACTCTCCTCCCAGCTTAGAGGGAGCAGAGCACCCACCACCCAGCCCCCACCCCCATGGCTGCCCTGCTCTCCCATCTCAGAGGGTGACAGAGGGCACACAGCTACAAGCTGGAGCCCTCAGTCTGGAGGCCACAGGACCGCTCAGGCACAGAGTGGCCAAAATGAGCTCACCACCGTCCCCTGGCTGCCTCCTCCTGTCTCCTTCCTCAGCAGATGGCATCATCTCACTCCACTGTTCAGGCTGGACCCTCATCACACGGGGGTCCGCCCCTGGCTGCGCCCCTCATTCCAGCAGTCCCTAACGTGGCCCCTCCCCCACTGCTGAGCCCCTAATCCAAGCCATCTTCCCCCCAGACCTGTGGTTCCCAACCCTGCCTGCACAGTGGAATCACCTGGGGAATATCTACAAGACAAAGATGTCTCCAGAGGCCTGGACTGGGCATCAGGGGTGTGTTTAAAGTTCCCCGGGTGATGATAAGGACCAGCCAGGGCTGGGAAGTACCTCTGCCCTGGCTCTGTTCCCCATCAGATGCACTTTCAAGCCCTGGAGTCTAAAACTGCCACCTGCAGGGACCAGGAAGTTACTATAAGGGAGCAGGGGAGGGGCTTTGGCACACTGGGGCACACACACCCCATCCAGGGAGAGAGAAGTCAGAAATCCAAAATCGTATGTCAAATCTCCTGATTTTTAAAAGTATTTTTAATGTTTATTTCTGAAAGGGGGGAGGGGCAGGAAGTGAGAGGAGACACAGAATCCGAAACAGGCTCCAGGCTCTGAGCGGTCAGCACAGAGACCAACGTGGGGTTCGAACTCATGAATGGGCACCCCTCAAATCTCCTGATTGTGCAACGCTGGTCACAAAATCAAATTCTTTCCAGAATGTGGGGGTAGTCAATGAAAACATTTCTGAAGGCAATTTCAGAACTGCATGAGACTTCTGCTTCTGAACACAGTGATCTTTCTGAAAGGAAAATCTGCTTCTCTTCCTTAACTGCTTAAAAACTCTTGAATTTCCCCACGGGCCAAAGGATTTGGCACGGCATTCAAGGCTCTTCAACAAGCCAACCTACCTATGTTTTCCTTACCTGGACTCCTGCTTCCTCCTCACCCTCTCTATACCACCTCAGACCTGTCATGATTTACATGCAGTAAAATGTACTCCTTTTCCATACAGTTTTATGATTTTTGACAAGTACCCATGGTCAGTATCCATGAGCACACCCTGAGTACCAAATAGTTCCATCGCACCTCAGAAATCCCCTTGGCCCCTTGGAGCCAGTTCCTCCCTCCCCAGCACTGATGAGCAGTTTTCTGTCCCTCGTCTTCCCGAACGTCACACACAAGGAATGACACGCTGCAAAGCAGCTTTATGAGCCTGGCCGCTGTCACTCAGCTCTTTGTGACTCAATGTTGCTTGCTGCTGAGTAATGTTTCACGGCCCGTCAGGTCTCTGGTTGAGAGATATTTGGGTTGTTTCCCAGTTGGGGAGGTTACGAAACGACTAATAATCACTCACGTACAGGTGTTGCTATGAACATAAGTTTTTCATCTCATTCCAGGAAGCACCCACGAGTGGGATGACTGACTGGCACAGGACTGAGTCTGGCTTCGTAAGCACCCGCCGGGTCACTTTCTGAAGGTAGCTTTCCTTTATGTTGCCAGCACTTTATAATTGCCCGGGTTTGGGATTTTCACTTTCGCTCTTGAATTCCCTCTCCATTATCTTAACCATAAGAGGAAGTTTGTACCGGTCTCCCATTATTAACTCAATTTTATAGATGGGGAAACCAAGGCACAGAGATGCCAACTTTGGGCAAGTTAGCGGCAAGGCTGGGATTTGAACCCAGAGTCCATGATCTTAACCGTTCCCTGCTTTGGACAATTAGGGCCCCTCCACACCCAGGGGACAGGCCACCCACATATGAAGAGCCTCCGGGCAGCTGTTTCTTGTCCCAAAGGCCCCTAAGTGTGCACCCCCCACTCTATGTGTGTGCCCCCCTGAGGACAGCTGTCACTCCCCACCCCCTCCCCGTATTGTCGATGCCACTTCCATGTCAGTGGCATCAACGGTGGCCAAATGACTGACTGACTGGGAGACCGTGGGTGAAGGATGACTTGCTGAGTCAGAAGGAAGCTGGGTCCCCCAAGGCAAGGCCTGCATCCCAGCAACTGCAGCCCCCTGGCCAACAGCAGGTGCGGCTCAGGGTCCAAAACTTCAATACCGCTGCGGGTACAGGCCTGAGCCCCCAGGACCGCTCCAGCCTTCACTCTCGCCGTCTGCCCGGCAGATACTTCCCGGCCAGGCACTCTCCCACCCCGGCGCTGGGGACGCAGCACACACTTGAAGCAGGGACCATTTTTCAAACGAGTCTAGTGATTTTTCCTTTCCTGTCCACTGGCTTGGTGTTCAGGACGCCGCGGGCTGGGAGGGCCGGGCAGGCTGCAGGCGCCGGCTCCTGAATTATTAACTGGGCTGGGGAGAGGGTTGCTTACAAATGTTGTAAGCAGCCTGGGCAGCCCACTGACTTCAAACAGGCCCAGAGCAGGGGGTGGGAAGGGGAGGGACTTGGCGGGGGCGGGGGGGGGGCACCACACACTCCGGCCAGGTCTGAAGGCTCTCTTGCCAAGCGCTTCCTTGGCCTCCATCCCCTGGCCCGCAAGAAGTTATTCTTCTCGAGCTCTTCACACCACAGCGCCTGCTTTGCTGGATTCAAGCACCTGACCTCTCCTCTTCCCCCCACTGCAAAACCCCTGGGCAAAGGGATGGAGTTTAGCGATTAAGGTGCATTCTGGGACACAGACTCTTGGTGTGTGGTGTATCCTGGGTAGGGAGAGGAGTAGAGTGTCTGAGGTTGGGTTCCCAGAAGCAGAGCTTGAGAAGGTGGTTCTTATAAAGGGAATTCCAAGGAGAGGGGGAGTAAGGGATACAGGATGGGGCTGGGGACGGGCCTCAGGAGGACCCCATGGGGAGCTCTGAAGCATCTCCTGCGGCTCAGGGTGGGTCCTACCACCAGTCAAAGGCAAAGGCCCTTTGTACGCCCACACCCTGAACGGACATAACCTCCTGGGTGCAACACTCCAGTCTAAACGGGCAATTCTCCAGAGAAGGGAGAGCCATGAGCCACTAAGAACAACTTGGGCAGGTAGCCCAAACTGGTATGGTGGCCCCGCAGAGTGATCAGGACCCCAGCTCCTTCTGGATCTCCGTGCCACCCACCTCCACTGAGGCCCTCATCCTCATGGTCCAAGGTGGCTGCCCAAGCCCCTCCAACACATCTCCATCCAACACGTCAAGGGGAGCAGGGGGAGGAAGGAGAGAAGGAAGCACTGACCCCTCTTTTTTAAGGATGCTCCTGAAAAGTCTCACACAGCACAGCTACATGGAGCAGTGAAGGAGGTGAGGAAATCCAGTCATCATTCTAGGAAACAATGTACAGGAATGAAAACTCGCATTCAGTTACTAATAACAGAGGAAGGAACAGATACCAAGGTAAATACTCTCCCTCCTCCATTCTCCCTTCAGAAGCTAAAGGGGCTTTTTAACACTAAAAAAAAAAAAAAATCACTCTTTTACTTAAAATCTTTGTGGTCATTGGCAAAACTTGTACTTAGCAGCTCCTCCCACTGAGAGGAGGAGTCTACTTCTCCGTCCCCTGAATCCGGGCTGATCTCGCCATGTGCTCAGGAAGGGACCACTGCTCTGCAGGTCCCAGTCGAGGCCTGGTGGCTTCTGCTCACACCCTTCACGCGCTGTAGCCATCCTGGGACCAAGCCTGTGCTGGCCTGTCACAGGAGGAGAGAGTCCCCAGCTCCCCCTAGCCATCCCTACCAAGGCCGCCATGAAGCAGCCAGCCCCATGGCACCCACCAGCTGACCACACACACAGGGTCAAGTGCACCCAAGAGCAGGTGGGCCTGACCCAGATGGGAAGAGCCATGACCTGAGCCCAGCATGGTCTGCTGGCCTGCGGGCTTCCGAGCCAAGCAAGGGATGGTTATTTTAAGTCATTATGGTTGGGGACAGTTTGTTACCCGGCCGAAGCTAACTGATAACGCTCTGACGACCTCCCCTTGCTCTCAGGATAAAGAACAAAATTCCCACCATGACTACCAGGGGTCTGGCCCTCGCTGACTATTCCAGACTCATCCCAAACCACGTCCCCCTCTATGAGCCCTTCACTTCCACAGACCCACTGCCTCCAAACCTTTGCAACAGCAAATGCTCAATCAAGAATAGGCTCTGCTCCTTCACCTGGTCACTGCCTCCTCTTCTTGCGGAGCTCAGCTCACACATCACTTCCCCGGGGAAGGCTTCCCCGGGCCCTCCCACCCCCCGACCTGGCCCAATCCCCCCGGAACACACTCTCGGGCCACTGCGTCCCA